GCATGACCGCCCCCAGGTGTGAACGCAGGGGAGCGCGGGCACCTGCCTGGCAGGTCTCTGCAGCAGCTAGGTCAGGGCTTGGGTGTGCAGAGAGGACATACCCTCACTGGCGCCCCCTGGGGACAGGCTTCCTGCACTTGCCCACAGCCCAGACAGGAGGTCTCACCCCTAGTGTGCAGCCAGTAACCCCTAGAGGTGCCAAGGGCCCAACGTACGTGTCTTGGACTACGATGTACTGATGGGGGATGAGTCCATCGATGCCGTTGTGCCGGCCCTCCCACCAGTCGTCGGAAGCCCGCTGGTACAGCAGCAGTGATGCCCCCTTCTTGAAGGACAGCTCTCTGGCGGTGCGGCCCACGTAGTCAAACTTGGCAATGGCCTCGATGGGCTCGCACTCTGAGAGAGAAGCAAACACGCGTAGTTGGGACCCAGGGGAAAGCCCAAGCAGATGGATTGACAGTGGTGGGCAGGGGGCCTAGTGTGAAAAATAAGCAGGGGAGGGTCTGGGAAGCAGGCCTTTCAGCCACTGCTGAAAGGGGGCACTTACATCCTCCCTGCTGCTCTTGCTCCTTCGGGTCCCTCCACCTGCAAAGCCTTCCTCTCATCTACCTGAGGACACACGTTGAGACACTAAAACTTCACCTACTCGTCTCTAGTAACTTCTCTGGGATTTCCCATAGCTCTTCACACCCACTTCAATCATAGCAATTGTCACACTGCATTCTTAGGCATTGTTTCTTTTCTGGGTCTAAAACAATTCTATTAACTAAAGACAAAGTATCATCATGCAGTTTAAATAATCGATTTCTGTGTCCTGGGTAAGAGATGAGGCTTTCTCCTCTTGTTAAAGAGTTACAGGCTCGGAAGCCCATGGGAGCAGTTCTCTCCTGTCCTGTAGGGTCACTATGAGTTGGAATTGACTTCATGTTCCTGAGTGAGAATTTGTGTCCAATCCTCCAGTAGAACATGAACTTTCAGCCTTGGGGCAGGGAAAATAATTTGCCTGGTCAACTATTCAAAGAGTAAAGTATGGGGATATATTTTTTGACTAATAAGGGGGGAAATATGGAAGGAAGTGATTTGGAAAATTAAAATGTAGGGCATTTCACTTTTGTGGGCATATTTGTCTCATTTGTAAAGAGAACAAAATTGCCTATCTTACATTTCTGCTATGAGGAGTCAGTTAATTGTAGTTTGTAAAAGTGCTTAAACCAGCCTGGCCCAGAGTGAGCATGGCCATGTGGGGCCACTCACCGTTGCTACGATTATCAGGGTCTCTTCTAGGTGGAGAGACGTCAGGATGAGACGGGGCTCACAGAAGCCTGGCCCCCAAGGTGCACTCCATGAAAGAGAACAGTGGTGTATCTGACTAATTGTGGGGCACTGTCCATGGCTTGCTCGGCAGACCTTCTAGGTACCAGGAAAGAAAGGCTGCTAAGAAACAAACGGTGTCCGGATAGCCCTGGCTGGTGGTCCACCCTCTGAGCCAGCAAGGCTGGAGGCTGCTCTCAATAGGAGCAGACCAGAGAACGGGAGGGAGCCTCAGTTTTAGAAACTAAAACCACACCCCCATCGGGTCGACGCTCACTCACTGTAACCTTACAGGACAGGTCAGAACTGCCCCTGTGGGTTTCCGAGATGCCATTCTTTGCCAGTGTAAAAAGCCTGGTCTTTCTCCCACAGAGCTGCTGATGGTTTCCAACTGCTGTCCTTGAAGTGAGCCACCCAACTTGGGACCGAGGTCCCTCAGCTTTTGAGACCTGTCTAAATATTCCAATCTCTGTCTGTTAAACTTTGGGTCTGTGACGCGACTTTACTGGATTTCAGTTTTTCTCAGCTTTGACAGTAAGGGCCTATTGTGATGATTGATATATTTATATACTCCCCGGCAGGGCCAGGCACAATGTAGGACTTAACCCAAAATTGATTTTCTAAGTTCATTTACATCCTCCCCACCCCTTTCCAAAAGGTGGTAAATGGTCAGACAGGCCCTTCTGACACCAGGACTGAAATGAGCAGCGTGGACCCATCCTCTCAACCCCTCCTTTACAAGCCGGCCTGGGATGGCAGAGTTCTCGGCAAGGGTCTTGTTCGGGTGCCCAGAACATTCTGAGGCCCCTTGTCAGCTGCTGACATTTCCAGTGCCCAAGCGATCCAGGAATGGAGGTGGGAATTTCTGGAAGAAGGGCAGATTATGCTGGCTGACAGGCCCTACTAAACCATGGGTACTGCCCAGGGGCCTGCAACAACAGCCGAGCATTCCACCTCCGCGAATACCCCGCCGGGTGGCTCAGCACCCCTATCCCTGCCTGCTGGGAAGGGTCAGCTCTTCCCGTGGGCAGCCGGGAAGGCGTGTGGTTTCTGCATTCTGATTCCTGCCCCTCACTGCCTTCCGGTGGGTTCTTGGCAGCAAACCTCTCTATTCCCCAGGCAACTGCTTTTCAAGTGAGCTCTCCTTTCGCTTCCAGCGACCTGCCTGGAGCTTTGGTATCATGCTGGTGGTGGGTGAGACAGGGAGCGGAGAGGCGAACGAGTGGCTGGTAGTTGGAGCTGGAAGGTGGAGGAGCTCCAGAGCCTAGCTCCTCCTCTAGGACAGGGGACATTCTCCAGCTATCTGGGAAGGAAGGCTGTCTCTCCTAGGAGGGGAAGGAATGGAGGGGAGAAGGTACAGGGTTACTGAGCCCTCCTTCTGCCTGTCCGAAGGGCAGAAGCTCTGGAGACAGAAGCTCCGTGTCACTGATCCTGACCAGGAATCGGGGCTCATACCGTCATCGCTCATGTGGTGTTCCGTAGTCACATCCTGGGTTGAGTCTTCGGCCGAGGTAGTCTCTCCCTGAGGGCCATCACTGCAAGAGGAGCAGGAGTGCCAAGATGGACATGAGGGCTTAGCTCATAGAACTCCCGCCTCCCTTTCACACAGCCTCCTGGGAGCAAGGGCCTGGAATCCATCTATGGCCGCAAAACCCTGAGTGCATACAATGGGACAATGCTTACAATGGAATATAAGGTTCCGGAGCCTCTCTGGTCTAGTATTTCCAGACACAAAAGCTACCGGAGACTGCCTGGGCCTTAACCTATCTTGAGACACAGGGAAGAGGGTCCTTTTGAACTTACACAGTGAGTTCATTAGAGGAACACAGAACAACACTGCTCCTCAGGTGGGGAGCTGCCTGCACTGACAGGGATGTGTTGGAGGCCGACTCCCTGGCTGCTAAGAAGGAAGGAGGGCAGGAGACACTGGGCTACAGCATCAGCTCCGACTGGACCCCCGAACCAACTGGGGCTCTTCGTGGCTGTGGGGCCCTGGGCAAGTCACGTCACTTTGTAAGCCTCAGCTGCCTCGTACAGCAATGGAGGAGAGTAATCTCTACACCCCACCGGGTGGTGTGAGGAAGCAAAGGAAGGCCGAGTAAGGAGCTGGGCATGGAGGAGGCTTTCAATAAGGGTCTCTCCTTTCCCAGCTTGCTCAAGCTCCATGCTACTGTGGGTGTGGCTTAGCTCTCTCCGGGGACAGGGTGGGGGTGAGTCAGGAGGCTGGGTGGGAGCAATAGAAGGAAGAAGACTGAAAGGGAGCAGGGGTGGAGGTCGAGCCAAGTTCAAAGAACAAAGCAGAGGATCGAGTCTGAAGCTACCAGCAAGGAGAATTAGGACGAGCTTGGAATGTGATTAGGAAAGTGGTTTCAGCCTCTGCTCTTCTGGCTCTGGGACATTAAAGCATGGGGGGAGTGGGGGAGCAAGAGGGTCTTACTTCCCAAGAAAACCCTTCCTCATTCTTAAAATAGCCTTCTCTGGCAGTAGGGAGGGATAAGAAAGTCTTTCCCTGTAGTTTTATGGACATTCCCCCTCCCCTCCTGCCTTTCACCCTCAAGCCTAGCCTCACTGCCTCCATCTTTAGCCTCACAGCCCTGCCCTCTCCATGGGATGGGTCCTGCAGGCCTAGGAAGTTCCTCGGAGACCAAGTAGCCAGCTCAGAAGTCACTCCATATGGACTTAGTCCAAGGAGGTCCCCCAGATGTCAGAGAACATTCTGGAAGAGCATCAGTAAGGATTCATCTGAGTCCAACAACATGGACATACTTTCTACTATGTTCTGGGTCTGGTGAGCCGCCGGGGAGAGTGGTGACCCTCTGGAGACCCTCGGGTGCTCAGACCGCACAGGGGCAGGCCCACTTTCTTCCAGGGTGATGAGGGATTCCCACGGGCATTCACTAGGCCAGTGTTCTCAAACTTGCAGGGCCAGCAGAGTCCCTGGGAGGGCTTATTAAAAACCCATCCTATCATGCAGCCTTTGGGTTTGACCCAGCAGGTCTAGGTGCAGCCGGGCTGATGCTGCTGGTCCACGGGGCCCCTGGTGAAAAATCGCCACTCTGGAGACCAATCCGACCCCTGGGGCAGTTCTCTTCTGAACCACAGGGGTGCTGTGAATGCCCACAAAACGACAGTTGACAAAATTTCCAGGAGTACACTCTGGAAGAGAGCAACTCAAGATTGTGTTGAAATTGAGGTTTTGTAAGAAACAGAAAATAACAGCCACAAAGGCGCTATCTTTAACCTGAACCATAACCCAAACTCCAACAGGAGACCAAGACCGGGGCTTAGACCTAAGCCTAAACCTAAACCTTAATCCTAACATTAGACCCAGCCTGGGCCAAGACTTAGTCTAACCATTAAATTCCCAACCCTACTCATAACCTTTATCCTAAACCTAAATTTAACCCAAATGAAGAACAAGCCTGAGTGCTAGCCTTAGCCCACCCTCTAACTCTAAACCTAACATTAAGCCCAACCAGAACATTACCAGTGGACCAAGTTCTAGGCCAAACCTTGACTAATCTCTAATGTTAAGCCTAATCTTAATCCTTAACTCTAACCAGTAACTGTAACCTACACTAACCCTAACACTCACAACAAATCCCAATACATGTCATAAACATCAACCTTAAAACCAAAGCCGATCCCTAACCCTAGCACTGCACCAGGCCCTAGTCCAACCCCTTACTTTAACCTGTAAACCTATGCCTAAACCCTAACCCGAAACAACAAAAGAGACAATTCAACTAGCTTTAAGGTCCTTTCTAGCCCTAAACCCTTAATCTTCTTCCAGCCCACAATCTCAGTCCAGCCACATCTCGCAGGCTCACCAACACCTGAGCTCTCAGAGCAGACCACCAGCAGGTGACCCCAGAAAGCTGGGTCCCAGTTTCAGGCAGGCTTGCAGGCTGGTCAGGGTAAAGAATGGAGGCTGCCTCTCCTCTCTACTGCTGTGGGGGTCAAGCAGTCTGGTTGCTCTGGCCACCCCTGGGCTCGGAGTGACCCTCCTTCCCCTTCGTGACTTCACTCGTCTTCTCAAAAAGGCAGAGAGGAGTGAAGCCTTCAGGGTGGGCATGTGTCTAGCGGTCCTATTGTCTGCTCATCCTCCAGCAGGCACTCCTGATTCTTGGGTGCTCCTGGCCTGAGGTCCAGGCTGCAGTCGATGCATTCCCTGACGGACCACGTGGTCTTTCCAGAGGCTGCGAAGAAGTCTGGGGGGCGGCCAACAGTGTGTGGAGGGCACCTTGGCAAACGCTGGAGAGAGGTGCTCCCTGTCCCCTATCCGGAAGCCACAGTCCCCTGGGGCTTCACTGGTCCCCTGGGCTGGAGGACATGGCCCCAGGGCTCTACCCTACGGACTTACCGGCCAGAAGCCTGTGGTGGTTTGCTATTTGGGAAGCGGAGGGAGTAGACTTTCCATCCAACTTTAAGAGCGAGCTAGAGCAGGAATTGGGTCTGCTGTTCCAAAGCTTCTACATGTCCCATCCCACATGCAAGGGGGGAACCCAGCTCTCTGGGGCACATGCACAAGGGCAGTTCGCTGGGGCTTCGCAGCCTGTAGGCCAAGACCAACAAGCTCCTGGGTCACCACCAACCATCTGTCAGTGACAAAAAACTCTCTCTCCACGCTGACAGGCCAAACTCTGACCCAGATGCCGGGCTCTGCAACAGAGTAGGGAACAATCCCGAGGCCTCATTCATCCCATGTTCACAGACACCCAAGCATGGTGCTCTTCGCTCCCGAGTGGGAGGCCCTTCGGTGGCAGTCAGGGAGACGTGTGGACTAATTGGCTTCTAATTAAGAGAGCAACCTCCCCTGTCCTCCCTACCTCCGCAGATAGCAACAGGCTGGCAGAATGGGTTCCAGACATTGAATTGAGACAGAATCAGATTTGAGTTGGCTTATGCTTCTGGCTTGGGGGGTGTGGTCGAGGGAAGGGACATTAGGGAGTCAGAGAGAGAGAGGGGGGCAGGTGCTTTGTGGTGGGCGGGCAAGGACACTGTAGGTGCTATCCTGGGGGACCAGGGTGTCTTGAACTAAGGTTGAAATCCCTGCCACTGGGGTGGCCCCAAAAGATGATGTCACAGCCCCTTTCTGGGTCACAGTGTAAAGCGAAAACAGTGAACCTGTAGACAAAGACATGCTCCACTGATCTTAGATCTCCGTTCCCAGCTGCAGCCCTGCAAAACCTGGTCCCATCACGTGCAGTCTCCTTTCAGAGCAAGGCTGTGTCTAACTGGCCCGAAAGAAGACTTCTCCTCCTTTCTCCTCAACGAAGGCGGAAGTCACTCTCGTCTCACCCGCTCACAGCCAGGAAATGCGGGCTCCTATCTGAGTTTTTCACAGTCAGAGCACAGTGCCCTGGGACCAACGGCCTCTCCTCTACCCAACCTAGCACACGGCGGGGCCAGAGACTCTCCTGGCTGAGGAACAGAGGTTCACCGACCAGCTCTCTAGACAGATGTCCCCCTCTGGGGATGACTGGCCTTCCCATTATGCTGTTGTGTCCTCTTTGACAAATGGCCCCTCACCACTCGAAGCTCACCAAAGACAGGGGGTGGTAGGGAGTGGCGCTTGGCTGGTCGTGTCAAGGTGACGACTGTGTACCCTACACCACCCTCCCTGGCAGCCTGAGAGCCTGTGTGTGTGTGGGGGGGGGGGGGGCCTGGGTGTTCTCCTTTGGTTTTCGCAAGGCCATCTGGCCCCAGCGTGTGCTGGCACCTCCCGCCCCTCCTCCACCCTTACCAGCAATCCTCCGTGCTTCCTCCTCTGCTGTAGACAGGGCCCTCCAGCTCCCTGGGGTTCTGGAAGATGTTCTCGTGCTGCATGATGATGGTTTTGATGAGCTCGTTCACGTGGGCTTGGCAGGACACCTGGTCGTGGCCCTCAGGCACTGACATCAGAGAGGGCCCGAAGCAGATGGCCAGGTTGTAGGGGTCCATCATGTTCTCCTCACTGAACTGTGATAAGCTGGAGGAGAAGGGGGTCGGCAAGCTGCAGTGCGCTGCACCGACGCCCAGAAAGCACCATCACAGGAGCTGCTGCCCAGAGCAGAAGCACAAGCTCCACGCGTTGCCACCTGCCATCCGGCTGCCAGGGCCCTTCCAGAGAGCAGAGCTGGGGAGGGGGCATGACTACCTTAGTGGTCAGTCAGGATCCAGGTAAAGGCACAGACTCCGGGCCACTCCAGCCCCCTCCCCTTCCTAACCCCCCTGACCACCACATCTGGGGCCTCTTCCACCAAATCTACTCTGCCTTGAGGAGACCCCCCTCTATTCCAAAGCTTCCTCCTGAGAATGTGATCAGGCAGGTGGGGTTCCCCCAGCTGCCCAGGTGATGATGTGGTCAGAGGTCAGAGGCCACAATGTGGAATTGTGGAGTGGGTTTGGTCACTCCTAGCAAAATAACCACATTAAATTCTGTCCAAGGCTCAGAGGTCAGAGGCCACAATGTGGAATTGTGGAGTGGATTTGGTCAGTCCTAGCAAAATAACCACATTAAATTCTGTCCAAGGCTCTAGACTTATTTAGAAATAATAATAATAATTAAAAGACCCAACCAATTAGCTTCTGCATACCATCAGGCCAGTGAGGTCTTTCTGGCAGAGCAAACGCGGTTGCACTTCAGTCCCCGAATACCTTCTTCTACTGCGACGTGTAGGATTCGGCAGGAGGAGGTCAGAGTGCTGCTCAGCTCCTCCTGGATTCTGACTAACTTCATTATGGGCTATTTGTTTTGTTCTGGGAACTCTTCCTTCCGTGCTAGCCGCTGCTTCAGCCACACCTCCAAGCTGCCCTTCAACGAGCCCCTGCAGCTACTGAGCCAGGCGCTGAGGGCTGCCTCGGCTCTAGACCCATTCTCCCACTGGGCCTCAGAGCTGTCTGCCTTGCTCAGGAGTTCTGCCTCATGCATGGGGGGCAGCAGCAGGAGGGAGGCCTCCACATCTGATCCTGCCAGGCCCGGGGCGAACCCAGTGCTTCTTGCTGCTGAGCTACAAGATTGAGGTTTAGCAGTCTTCACCTCCATGGTGGTCCTTCGGGACTGGGCAAAAATTCCTTTCTGGTGTAGCCCCAAGTTCAGACTCCAGTGACTGGGCTGCTCTCTCCACTGCAGTGGGCCTCTCCTCCCTTGGGGATTCTGACATCCTGACCCTGTCCTTCTAGACCAGAGCCAGAAAACTTTTGGGGCAGAAGATTGAATCCTGTCCTCACAATTTAAAGATGCCTCGGGAGCTAGCAATGTATTTTTACAAATGAAATCACCATTATCTGAATAATATCCTTTAAAAATTTCCCAAGTGAAACTATGACAGCTTTATTTTCATCCTTCAAGTTTACTTCAGATCCATGGACGGCTCTCGAGCAGCAGGCTGCCGCCCCACGCTCTGACCATCACTGCGGGGTGTGAGTGACGGGCACGTGGGGAGAGGGTTGAGTCGCTGCTGAGTAGGACTAGAACACAGGTAGGAGAGGCCTGCGATGGCTGAGTTCAGTGGCTGGGTTGCATCACAGGATTCGGCAAAGATCTAATTTTACAATCCTGGCTCCTCGGTTAAAAGGGAGCTGTGATTTTAAAAGGCTGGGGGTGGGTTATTTCCATTTGATTCCTTGGTCAAATGAAATCTGGAGAGAGATGAATTTTGGTCACTTCAGGAGGGACAACTGAGGGAGGAGATGCCACAAGGCTTTGGTTCCAAATCTCAGAGTGGTCGGTTCCCAAAACTGTGGAAGGACACGGATGAAGGAGGCTCCTGTTTCTTTAACGTGACCTGATACTATGCTGGTTGAACATGGAAGAAAATCAGTGATTCCTGGGAAGCCAGAGGGCCGAGGGGAAACAAAGTCTGGCCCTGAGACTCATGCCAAAATGTTGCAAAAGTTGAGAAGCCGCTAAGCCAAGAAGGGTCAGGCCCCTCGTCCTTGGTGGACACAGTGGCAGTGCCGGGGGAAGACAGCTTCGTGGCCTGTGGGCGCACAGGCCAGGCTCCTTTTCTTACTCTCACCCATGCCCAGACCAGGGCTCCTGCTCTCTTCCCACCTGCAAGGCAATCGCCAAACTGCAGGGGCCACAGCAGGTGGGGACCATGGGCTCCTTACAAGTTGGCCAGAACCTTGGGAACCCTGCCCCTGGAAAAGCCACGCCGCACAAGGCCTGTCGCCCTCCAGCAGAAGCTGCTCTCAGCCTATAATGTGCATACTGATAGTAGCACCCTCTTAAAAATGGTGTGTGTGGGCGCGGAGTGGGGGGAGGGAAGCTTGCCTTCTACACATGCTGTCTCCTCTAAGCATTGTCCTAAATTTGACTCACTTGCTGAGTCAAGCTAAAAGGTCCAACTGATGTAGGGTCACGATGAAATGCCCTCGTGCCAGTGGGGTGTGGGTTTCTGGGCACCTGTTGGGAGCACAGGTGTTTGGGGGCAGCGAGAGAATCAGGACTGGGGAGTCGGGGGGAACCTGTTTCATCACCAGGTACTTTTTTAGACTTCAGGGATGTGTATTTGTCTCCTTGGCTAATTAAGAAAACCATAAACACCGCAAAGACCCCCGAGTTAGGCAGACCCGCTCCACGGCTCCGTTCTAGCCTCCTCACTGCTCCGTCATAAAACATGGCATTGCAGGCACTCCCCTTCAAGGCTGGTCTCAGGATTAACGGAGTGACCCGTCACACAGCATTTAGCCTAGAGCAGTGGTTCTCCGTCTTCCTGATGCCGTGACCCTTTAATACAGTTCTTCATGTGTTAGGGACCCCCAACCATAAAATTATTTTCATTGCTACTTCATCACTGTCATTTTGAATCGGGTGACCCCTGTGAAAGGGCCGTTAAACCCCCAAAGGAGTTGCGACCCACAAGATGAGAACCGCTGGCCTAGTTCCTAGCACATAGGTGGTTGAAAACCTTTGCCCTGTTAATCTATAATATCCTGATCTGACCTTGAAGCGGGATCCTGGGCTGTAGGCAGGTGAAGAAAGGCGCTTCGGCAGTGACGAGTTTACAGTGATCTGCCTCTCTGTTCCCCCCTGATAGGCATTCATAAGCCGAGGGCTCTGGCCCCTCAAATCAAAACCATCAATCCTCAAGGAGCACGCTACCCTTTGGACAGGCTGTTTTAAATACATGACATCTCACTTAAAAACTTTCAACCTCCTGGACCCCAGGGGTTTGCTTTGGCTACAAGCAGCAGGCTCAGGGTGAGCTATTATGCAGCCGAGTTGATCTGAGCTTGGAAAGGATGAAGAGAAATGGTATCATTCGCCAAGACCTTGGTTGAAACCTATGGAGGAAGCCTTCATGGCTTTCCCAGGGGAGACCTACCTTCCCTCTCTGAGCTATGCTACAGCACCTTCAAGGAGCCCTGCAGGTGTGCTGGGCTGCTCAGCGGGCTGCCAAGTGAAAGGCCAGAGGTTCGACCCCACTAGCTGCTCGGAGGGAGGGCAACAGTCAGCTTCTGTAGAGTCACAGCCTCTGACACCCTAGGGAGCAGCCCCCTGTCCTCCAGGGTCGCTGAGTTAGCATCGGGTGGACAGCAGTAGGTCTTACAGCATGTCCTCCTCCTCAGAGGCCCCAGAGTTCCCTTCCTGAGAGACAGGCAGGAAAGGTCATTCTGGTCAACTCTCAGATGGCCCTTCCAAGGCTTTCCCCAACTCCCTTTCCCATTATGCCACCGTCACTCATTTTCCAGGCTCTCCATCTCTAACGGTTAACCTCCCACCCGGTACAGCCTGTTCCACCCTCTCCCACCAGGTCCCTGGGGTCGCTTTAGCATATGCCCTTGCTCTCTCCCCCAGCACTGGGCTTTCCTTCTGCGGCCATGCAAGTGTGTAGCAATCCCTCCCACCTTAGCGCAACACTCTCCTCTCAGATCCCGCCCCCTCCACTCCCTGTCCCTCTGCCCATGCCACTCTGCTGCCGCTCCTTTTCGTGGGCTGACTGGTCTTGAAACACTTCCTCTCCAAGGTTTCCTTTCCTCTGACCCACTGCCCACTGTCGCTCAGCGAGGCCTACTCTGACAATGGCCTCTGACGAGCAGATCCCCCTCCCTGCCTCTGGTGTTCTCCACCACCCCCGCCCCACTTCACTTTTTTGTACATATGTATGTGCACCCATTTACGCCGTCTGTCTTCTTCAATAGGATACACCTCCAAGAGGACACAGCCCCTCAGTGTGGTGCCCTAATCTACGGCCGCCAACAGCCTACACAGCGCCTGGCACACTGTGGCTGGTGCTGTGTGCTGCCACGTCCATCTTGACTCCCAGTAAGTCTAGAGGAGTGAGCAGAACTGCCCCACGGGGTTTCCCAGGCTGCAGTCTCTGCGGGAGCAGATTGCCCAGCCCCCCTCCTGCAGTGCCACTGAGAGGTTCGAGTACATGCTATAATAGGGAGGTGTCAAATCAACCAATGAATTTACAGGAGCACCAGGGAGTCTCCAGGACAACCGGATGCACTTCTCCTCGCCCAGCTGCACAGGGTTCTGTGTGGAAGGCCCACAGAGGTTCTTTTTCAACCAGGTGTCCCTTGGAGATTGGGGCGATGCGGCGATGGGCAGGGTTCACCATCAAAGACAGGCGTGACGATTGACTGCATTCACTGTGGACGGAACGTGAGGCCTGCAGTGGTGCTCTAAGACTGTGTTACAACAAGGATTCTGATTTGGCAGGTCTTCTTGTGCAGCAGGGGCTGCGAGCATGCACTGCCCGCACTCCCCTGATGTCTGAGGGCCTCACTGGATCGGCAAGAGGGTAAGCCAGTTCTCATCAGTCGACTGCAACTCCCGGAGACTTCAGGTGTGCTGAACTAGAGGGGAGCTCTGGGGGCTTCCTGGGGCGGGGCTTTTCAAAGGCAGAACACCAGGCCTTTCTGCCGAGACATGTTTGGGTGGGCTCAAACTCAGCGACGCAGCAGAGTCTGGTCACTGTTTGCACCTCCCAGGGGCTCCAGCAAGGGACTGGCAGACCACATCATTTGGCATCTGAAGAAGTCTGGTCTCAAAAGGCAAACCTAGAGTCAGCTGCAGTAAAGGGGTGGGGGGAGGGGAGTCCCCTACACTTTGATGGGGGCAGAAAATTGCTGGCTAGGACACATACTGTGGTATGCAGCCTACCAATCAATGAGGACCCCATGATTTCCTGGCATTCACACTCATAATTCACTTCCCCGGTTGCGCGCTGTGTTGGTGAAGACTGTGCAGCGGAGGCTGTCTCTGAGACTAGGTTATAAAAAGACTGTGGCTTCTGTCTTGCTGGCTCAGAGGGAGACAGCTGTCAGGCTGTGAGCAGCTCTGTGGAGAGGTCCATGTGGAGAGGAATGAAAAGAAGCCTCTGGTCAGCACTCAGCCAGGGAAACTGAGGCTCGTGGTCTAAAACCCACTAGAAATGGAATCCTGCCCATGACCACGTGAGTGAGCCAAAGGTAGACCCTCTTCTGGTCAAGCCTCCAGATGAGGTTCTGGTCAGCACCCTCACTGCAGGCCTAGGAGACCTAGAGCCCAAGGCCCCAGGTAAGCCACCCCTGGGTTTCCAGCCCACAGAAATGTGAGCTAAGAGATGCTGTTGTCTAAGTTGCCAAATACCCAGCAGCCAATAACAACCAGCACTGCCAGGAAGGGAACTGAACTGTCCACAAGGCCGGGGGCCAGGCAGGCTTTTCCCAAGGTTCCTTGAGGTGAGGGTGCAGACAGCCCAGGGGCCATAGCGAGGCAGAAAACACCCGGAGCCCAGACCGACCGACAGAGGGGTCCTGAAAGAGGGTCTCCACGGGAGCCACCCGCTAACCATCCTTTACCTGTCAGCCATGCCCACGCATTACCTGGCACCCCCCCACAGAGCTGCCCTTCTTCACCATCTGCCCCCCACGTTCTACTCATTATCTCGGGAAACGCTGCGACTGTCAATGCTGCTCGACTGAGCAAAGGAATCTCTCCAGTGAAACACCCTGACAGGCAGAGCAGCCTTTTAAAATTTTCATTAGGGGAAATAAGTAGACAAAATAATACACAAAGATCCTAATTCGAGCTAGAGCAAGTCCCACATCTTCTTCAAGAGTGGCTGTCATCTCCGGCTCAACAGACACTCGCTCTATGTGCCCCACCCCGACCCCCACCCCCACCCCCACCCCTGGTGGCACTACAGAAATGTGGGGGAGAGCATCAGGCCACTGGGTTCACATACAGGCACCCCACGAGCTCCCTGCCCCCTCACCTGCTTGCCCCTGAACACCATGCTTCTTGCTCAGGGCCAAGAGAAAGGACTCACTTTGAGGGCATGTGTTGCCCAGAAAGGAGAGGCAGGCTAGAGGTCAGAGGTCAACTTCGGAGTAATTACACCAGCCTAAACAGGCTTGCATGTGAACAGCCTGTGCCAGCCATAAACCCAAACCCAAACTCACTGGTAGTAAGTCCTTGCCGTTGCATAGTGACCCTGTAGGACAGGGTAGAACCATCCCTGTGCGTTTCTGAGACTGTCCCTCTTTACCAAGCCAGCTGGAGTGCTGAGCTGGGGACCAGGTTACCCAGTGAGCATGTGCGCCAGGCTGAGGAGGCAGCCTGTAGTGGCAGGGCCAGCAACAAACCAGGGAAGTGGTGGTGCGTATTCCAGAAAGGTTTCAGGCAGGGACAATACCTCAGCTAACAGCTCCTCTAACACCTCCGCTCCAGCTCTCTTCCCTGAGTGCCTATGTTCAACTGCCTGCTTCAACTCTCCACTTCCCGTCTGACCTGGAGCACCACCGAGCGCAGCCACATGGGTAATTTGTCGATTCCTTCCTCTGTGTCTTGTCTATGGCACCACTACTTCCTTGTGGCTTATGCCAAAAATGTCAAAGTACACCAACCTTCACTTCTCAATTTTGTCCTGACAATTCCATGTTCCAAGACCCCCAATCTGACTGCTTCTCCCCACCTCCGCCCTTCCCCGGTCTAAGCTACTCACGCCCAGTCTAGACACTGCAAAGCCTCTCACCAGGTACCTTGCTCCTCTTCCTGAGCCTCTGCAGGAGCAGCGCAAGGGTGCCAACAAACATAAACTGGATCACAACTTCCTTTTGTCTAAAACCTCCCAAGTACTTCTAGTGTCCACACCCCTTCTCTGGTCTGGACAGGGAGCACTGGTGGCTCTGGGGTGAGGGGTTCGGCTGCGAACCCAAGGTGGGTGATTCGAATTCATTTCCTGCAGCCTGCAGCTCAGGGAGCTCTCAGGTCTTCTCTGACGGCCCGTCCCACGTCGCGCTACTTCCTTGCAGCCCTGGCCTTCAGGCTGACTTCTAGCCTCAGCCCCCTTCTGTCTTTTTCTTTAAAGTACCTATTACCACCGGACATGGCTGTGACTATCTGTCTCGTCCCCTGAGGTAAACTCTGCAGTGCTGGTGTTCGTCTCTGGCTGTCCAGTGTACATCCTTGCAGCCTAGAGCATGCTCTCGGCAGGCCAGCACACAGTACATGTTCAGTAGTGATCTGCTGGGTCCTTATGTCAACTTCCAGGAGCCAACACTAAGGCTGGCTGGGGAAGCTACTCACTGGTTGAGGAAAGCAAAGAGGTATCTCATGACGATCAGCGTGGTCTTGGGCAGGGCCAGGAGGGCTTTCCGGATGTGCAGCGCTCTCTCCTGCAAGTTGTCCATGGCTGAAAGAAGGAAGCCACACGTTATCCTCCCACCTCTGTAGTCAGAAATCAGAAATCACTTGCTCATGGCAGGTGGAACCCTGAGAGCGCGCGTGCTGGGGAAGGCCGCACTGTGAAAGGGGCTTTGTCCTTGTGACCGCAGATGGGGCTTCTGAGACAGGCACACGCTGAACTCTGGGCTTACCAACGCGGGGCCTAAGGCAAAAATATGCGCCATGGAAGCAGAAGGGCTGGGATGCGCCCCATCTCACTTACTACTCTCTCACTCAAGCAAGCAGACAAGGAACTGACCCAAAGCTTGCTAGGACTGCGTCAGGTCCAGCCTTGCGGGCCTCCTCAGGGAGGGAGAGGCTGTGCAGGCCCTGCAGGAATCACCTTGCCTTCTGGAGAAGGCTGCTCATCTACAGCGGGAATGAACAGGGCATGTCCAAAGGCAGGAGGTGGCAGGCCCCTGTGAGAACTGCAAAGATGGCCAGACGTCTCCTGACTAGTGGCCTGCAGGGAGGCTTGTGACAGGTATGGCCCTAGGTCTGTGGCCTCCGCCATGGCAGCTCCCTCGCTTCCCCAGGGCGTCACATATACGCTTATCGCCATTTTCCATGCAGGTCTTTACAGGACAGAGAGCTGGGAAGGGTGGATTAGAAGGAGGAGTACCTATCAAGGGGAGAACTAAGTGAGTTATCTGTACTGTCTTTGTGACCCCCCAGAGCAGCTGAAGGCCCACTTCTGTTAAGAACATAAGCAGAGAGATGCAAGTGTTTAATCACTCACGTAACTCTCACAAAGGAGCGAGGCAAACAAACGACCAAACAAGAGAGCACCTCCTGGATGCTCAAGGACCCTTTTCTCCTGGGGTGACTTGGGGGGAACAGGCCAGTACTCATCCTGAGTCAGCGCGGAAAGGCAGGGCCTGGGAAGAAGGCTCTTTGCTTCTTCATTTCAAAGGCCCTGCCCACGCCGGTCTCTGGAGCCATCATTCAAGTGGGGTCTGCTTCCAGAAGGACCCAGTGTTAACCCAAGTTTCCACGGATCACTTTCCACGGAAAACAAATGAGGAGATGTTGCAGTTCAGCATGAGGTAGACTCAATGACCGAGGTAGCTTTATAAGCCCCCATTTTAGTGTTCTCTCAGACTCGCGGCCCCCACTCTGCAGGTCTGGAATGGCACTCAGCCCTGTGGAGGAAGACTCCATCATTGGGGAGCAATAGGGCAGCAGGCGCCCAAAGGCAAAGGTCAGAGGATTAGGAGAGGAGGAGAGCGAATAGGAAACAAGGCTAAGTGGTGTATGCTGAGGGGGTGCAATGGATGTGTTGGGACACAAGGTGGACAGGCTGCTGCATGTGAAACTGACAGTCTGCTCTGTGACCCTGCCTCACAGTTAACAAATGTTTCCTAATGTTACCTAACAGCAAAACGACAAAACGTTAGGGACTGACAGGTGGCTGCAACAATGGCTCAGACATCCCCCTGGTGAAGGTGACGCAGGCCGGCAGGGTTTCCCTCTGCCGCACAGGCTCACGAGGAGCCACCAAACCCCGAGGATGAAGTAGTACAGAGCGCTCTCCCTGGGCAGACACCAGGGTGCGACTTATGCATGTGCAGGGATTTTATTCCTAGAAGACCCCGTGCTCACATGTCTAGCAGGACCCGCCATGCCTTGTGGAAAGCACCGGGCAGGAAATGTCCCCTGCTGGGCTGTCTCCCTCTGTGTCGTGAAAACACAAGCACAAGCCGCAGTATAAAGAACACACATACACAGAGATAGAAGCTTCTGTAATGGACAGAGGGTAACTTTTGTGTGAAGATGGAGGTCTTTGGCTGAAGGAAGATAAACCCCAGAATTTACAGGTAGAGGCAAATCAAAAAGGAAAAAGCCAAGAATCCTATCATGGGACTCTATCTCCCTCCCAACCCCCACCCCCGGCCACTGAGAGATGAGGAAGTGAGGAGGAGGAGGAGGGTAAACTTCCCAGAGGAAAAGGGAGAACATCCCTGAGAAGCTCCACAGAAACCAAGACCCCACGGGAATGTTTCCCTGGGGCTACAGGGTTGGGGGGGAGACGCCCAGAGCTCTGCTCAGAATCTGGTCTGAGGTCCAATGAATACGTACTGACACAGGCGATCAGGTCATGGAAGATGTCCTTGGGGAAGAGAGGGTGTTCCAGCCCCCGGAAGTAAAGCTTCAAGACGCCAGCTATGGAGTCCATGTCATGGTCATTCTGGTCCCCAGCCAGGGGGTCCTCTCCTGGGGATCAACAAAGGCCCCCCCAAACGGAAAGGCAGAGTGAGAAAAGTGAGAAACAGTGAGGATGAGGCAGTGGTGCTCAGGACGAGGGGCCTATTTGCATCTTGTCCCAGCCCATCAGCTCTCTGCCCACCTGGGGTGGGCGATACATCAAAGGTGGCCCCGGGGATGGAGAAGGGACAGAAGAGTCCCTCAGAACCAACTCTTTTGTGCCAATTTTGGGGACATTCCCTGTGCGCTGGGCTGGGACATGGCCTCTGCCTCTCTCACAAGAACCAGAGAGCCAGGCTGGGAGCAGGTCCCTGGGGGAGGAAGAGGAGGCTGGGGAGGGAGCTCTGAGGCCAGCCACAAAGGACACCTCCTTACAGGAGAACGATCACGCTGAGGCTCCCTATGGAAAATTTCATATCAGATGTAATTAGATTTAATGATAGGGCCAACCTCAAATTGAAACTATATATATCCATTACAGTGACGGAAATTGCCAAAGCTTGCCCATTACCTTAATTGCCCACAAGGTAATAAATGGGCTACGATGAACAGGCGCATTAGCCTCAATATTAACTGCCACCAAGGGTTCCGGATGAAGCTGCAAACCGCCCAGCCATCATAGTTAACTTCTTGGGTTTCCCTAGATCATAGCCAGAGGGGGAGGATGCACAGGGCAGCTGGGGTGTGCTCTCGTGGGCTTTCCTGGCACAGGCAGGGGCCAGTGCCTACAAGAGAGCAGGGGCCCGGGCTGAAGGGGGAGGCAAGCTGGCTTGCAAACCTCTAGGGACCCTCATCTTCAGGGTAGGAAAGGCGGGGCCAACGCAGGGGGTGAGAAGGGGGCATGGCAAACGTTTCCTGGATGTTTCCTCACCTCTCTCAAAGGCGTTTTTGATGTCATTCACTTCCACCTGGGATCCCGACACCCGGAAAATCCCTTCATGCTGCAGCCCTGGAGAACAGACAGGGAAACGTGACCCAGGAGAAGGACCAGCAAACTTGCACGGCCAGCTCTGGCCGTCTCTTCCAGCCAGTGTGTCGTTATGCTCCCAGCACATCCAGACCCTCGTCTTCAGGTCAAAGGAGAGCAGTGTGTGCAGGGATGCTGGGAACATCGCTGGGAGGACCACAGGCCCAGAGAAGACACCACATCAGTCATCTAATTATTATTCCCTTTGAGGAGCACGGTGCTGTTGGGTTGTATTTTAACACTGACTGTGAACTGCGTGAAGTTTTACAGAGCAGAGCAGATTTCCATTCAACAACTCAAACAACACATTTTGTTTCACACCGACTGCAATCCCCACAACACAACAAAACGTATTCTTTCCTAACCCCCCAAAAAACTTGACCTTGGGTAAATGCTGTCCTTTTGATCTCAAGAAAATAAAAAATGAACAAAACAGAAAACTCTGCTATTGACTCGCAGTGAGAGGAGACTTGATGTGGCCTCCTGGCGACCCTCCAGGGCAGAGTAGAACTGCCCCTGTGGGTTTCTGAGGCTGGCCCTCTTCATGGGAGTGGCAAGCCTTGTCTTTCTCCAAGGGCTGATTGTTCTAAGGCGTGTGTACTTGATTCCCCGGGTAGAGGTGCTTACACCTGACTTCACTGCTGGCTCCTAGGGAGACAAGTTCCTTCCCTTGCCTTTGCCTCCCTGTTCCCGTCCGAAAAGTGGGAAAGGGGACTCCTACCTGATGCTACCTTGTTTCTCAGGGTCAAGACAGGAAATGAGAGCCTGACAGACAAGGCACCGCTGGGGGAGTTACAAAAGGTCTGAACAATTCTGAGGCTGCTCTACAATGACTGCTTTAGCTGTTTTCATACCCTTTGTTCTAAGGGCCAATGTTGTCACTATTTAATGGAAAACAATGTATGCACATGAGCAAACAAGTAACAGGTACTATTTTCAGGCACTAAGCTTAATACTGCAGCTTTACTGAGACGAAAAACACATGTATGCATGCTACATATGTGGCAGTTACATAATCTCCTGTCAACTTGTGAAGAAGTGGAGTCCAGCCTGTCAATCAGGTTGCAGTGTGATGACCTCATTTGGTGTTGCAAAGGAGATAAACAGCTTACTGGAGGCCACATACACGCTGTTTCATCTTTCTGCTGACAAGACACAAGGAGCTACGCTGATGGAGCCAGAGCCCTGGAGCTGTAGGAGCCCCGTGGAGACTCATGCCAGTGC